GTTGGTGGTTGCTGCCACCTACTGTATGTGCTTGATGCTTATTTAAACCCAGGAAGCTCACTAAGGTGAGGCTGTTGAAATAATTAGCAAAGAAGACACCATTACTTGACAGACAATGTTTCTTCTCTTCTCCATAAGTGGCTCCTAATTACCGAGACGGCCGCCAGCTTTCATTCGTTTCCTCCAAGTGGGCTTGAAGTTTTCTCGTGTCAGAGTTCCCGTGCCAGCGAGCCTGCATCCTTCAGGCTCTGTGTGCTGGGGTGGGGGGGGGGGGGGGGGGGGGGTTAATATGCACATGGAACCATGTGTTTTAAGGTTTTGGTTTTCTTTTTTCATGCATTTTATTTGTAATTTGTAGGAGCAACATTTTGGGCTTTTAAATTAATTTTTATGAAACAGAAAATAGAGCTAGAAGATGTGCGTTGCCCCCTATGACATGAAAGATGTTGCTTTATTAGTTCTAAAACCGCTTCAGATCAGTTGGCTGGTTAAATGGAGCAAGCAATACAGGCTGTGTCAGCCAAAGCCCTTCTCTTTTATTAAGCCCCAGCTGTCAGAGGATCACTGGGTCTCCTGTGGAAAACAATCTGGCCATGAATGCCAGAGTGGCCTTTCCCGGGGCTCCTGCGCACCTGACAGTGAGCATCTGGAAGAATTTCAAGCTTGCAGGAGATTTATGTGTTGACCAGAAGTCATGCCTTTAGTCTTAGCTTTTAGCCTCTGTGACATACACTACCATGTATGTTTACTGCCACCAACTTTGTGAATTGACTTACGGTGCCACCACAAAAGATTGACGAGCAGAAATTTGACAAGGTGACATCCCAGTAACTGGAAGAGGCTACATGTCTGACAGGATGTACTTCACCTGTGTGATGCTTTTGCTTACCACGGATTACATCATTTCTAGTGGCTCCTAGACCTAGCTCCCGAAGCACCCAACATGACCAGAGCTTTGCTTTTTCTGCCCTAGGCTATTTGCTTTCTAGAAGAGAAGGCCAAGCAGGGTCTCCCGAAAAGCCACTCTCTGATCTGGGCCGTCTCTCCTACCTGGCCTACTGGAAGAGTGGTCATCTTGGAATATCTCTACCACCACCATGAGAGGCACATTAGCATCAAAGCCATTAGCAGAGCCACAGGCATGTGCCCACACGACATTGCCACCACCCTGCAGCACCTCCACATGATCGACAGGAGAGATGGCAGGTGAGGGCTCCCCTGTGCATTTTACTTTGTGTTTTAAGGCAGGCTTCAAACTCATGGTAATCCTCCTGCCTCTGCCTCCTGAACGCTGGCATGACAGGTTTGCGCCAGTAGATCCATCTAACCCTGAGGGGTGTTTTGTTTTGTTTTGTTTTTTTATTTGAATTTTATTATTAAAATTTTAAATTACATTTTATCTCTGTGTGTGTGTCCATGGAGGTCAAGAGGGCCTTGCATCCTCTGGAACTGAAGTTACAGGCAATTGTGAGCCACCTGAGGTGCTGAGAATCTAATTCAGGTCTTTTTTTTTTTTTAATTATTTATTAAAGATTTTTACCTCCTCCCCGCAACCGCCTCCCATTTCCCTCCCCTCCCCCAATCAAGTCCCCCTCCCTCGTCAGCCTGAAGAGCAATCAGGGTTCCCTGCCCTGTGGGAAGTCCAAGGACCACCCACCTCTATCCAGGTCTAGTGAGGGTGAGCATTCAAACTGCATAGGCTCCCACAAAGCCAGTACGTGCAGTGGGATCAAAAAACCCATTGCCATTGTTCTTGAGCTCTCAGTAGTCCTCATTGTCTGCTATGTTCAGCGAGTCCGGTTTTATCCCATGCTTTTTCAGACCCAGGCCAGCTGGCCTTGGTGAGTTCCCAATAGAACATCCCCTTTTTTTTAGACAGGGTGCCGTTCTAAAACTCACTCTGTAGACCAGCTGGCTTCAAATTCACAGAGACCCTCCGGTCTCTGCCTCCCGAGTCTGGGAGTGCAATGTGTGCCATATCCTATAGCTCTCCACTCTTGGATTCATGTTGTCTTGCCTTGCTGTGTTACAGGTTTGTCATCATTCGAAGGGAAAAGTTGATATTGGGTCACATGGAAAAACTGAAAAACTGTTCCCGACCCAATGAACTTGATCCAGAGAGTCTAAGATGGACCCCCATTTTAATTTCTAATGCTGTGGTTTCTGAAGAAGAGCGGGAAGCTGAAAAGGAGGTAATGCTGTACTCTGTCATCCTAAGGTGTGACTTTAGTCTTGTAACTTGCTTAAACTACGTCATTGTCATCATCGTAAAAGCTTAGTTATATAGACAGCTTATAAAACGATAAAGCACTAATTTATCCTGAGTGAGACATAATTCTATTGAGTATGAAAAATGAGACATTTTCATTGATCACAAAGCATCATTTTCACAGTGACAGCATGTAATCAGATCAGATTTGGTGGTGAGCTGCAGTGCTGCTCTGTCAATCGATTCCATGTGTTTATGAACTTGCTTGGAATGCTCCATGCCAGTAAGCATGTAATGTAGTGATAAAGGACTCGAATCAATTCGCTGCATCATTAATACTGCTAAATATCCCACGAAATCCAGTCACCTTAGATTTGTTATCCTGACTGGTGCAAAGGGTCCTGAGATGATACGGCTTACATTTGCTCGGCCAGCTGACTGTCCCCTCAGAACTCACTTTGAGATCCTTTCCGCTGATCCCGGAGGCTCCAGCTGTGTAACTACCCTCTCACCAATCACCATTTTGCCCCCTACCCCACCCAGGCTGAACGACTAATGGAACAAGCCAGCTGCTGGGAAAAGGAGGAACAAGAGATCCTGTCGTCTAGAGTTAACAGTAGGCAATCACCTGCAAAAGTACAATCGAAAAACAAATACTTGCATTCTCCAGAGAGGCGGTCAGTGGCAGGGGAGCGAGGACAGCTGTTAGAGCTGTCCAAAGAGAGTAGTGAGGAAGAGGATGAGGAAGAGGATGAAGAAGAGGACGAAGAGGATGAAGATGAGGAGGAAGAAGAGAACATTCAGACATCTCCCCCGCGGTTGACCAAACCACAGTCAGTTTCCATTAAGAGAAAGGTGTGTGCGTTGAGCTTTTCACCCCGTCAACTGTTTCAAGTCTAACTCACTTTTGCAGTGTTCTTTAGTTTCTGTTTCACTCTCTGTTGGTATACTTCATATGTTTGCTGTCTCACTGATCCGTGTCATAATCATTTATCTTACAGTTGTGATTGTGTTTCCTGCTGTTAGCACTGCCATCTGCTGGTCTGCAGGACAAGAGTAAACCCAGTCATGATAACCAGGAGGGCACCTCAGAGAGTACATACATAATCACCCTTCAAGGCCTGAGGGAGTCAGATTCAACAGGGTCACATAACTCACTGGAGAAGCAGCCACATCTCAAAACTCCAAGCCAGTGCTCCTGCCTTTAATGTCCCTTACTCTCATATAGAATTGCTCGGTATTTCGTACCCTTGATTTTGCTGCTGCTACTTTGCATGTAGCCAACTACTCATTAGTAGTTTTTAATTTCTCCAGATTACACCAGCTCGTGCCCAGTGGCACAGAAAGCGGAGCATTGATTTTTGTTTGTAGGCAATAGTTCTCCCATATCTGCTTGTCTGTCTGTGGCGTGCAGCAGGGCCAGATACTGTTAGGCTAGCCATGACAAGTAGTGATAGCATGGTACAAATGAAGGCTCTGCCCACGGCTGTCCTGAGAGGTGTTTGTCAGGCGGTTGCTGGTCTGACCCCACAGATGGATGTAGCAAAGGGGAGCATTCCATGAAGTGCACTACTGGCCGCTGAGCATTTTAATTTCTTAGACAGAGAATGCATTTGTGTATTATGAGTATAATGAGAGGAACTCGATGTAAAAACATGAACAACCAGAATCATCCAAGGAATGGCATGGGCCACTACTGTCCATATGGATTTAACCTGAAGGGAGTCAGCTCTGTATTGGCTGCACTTGTATCTGGGGAAAGTCTAGTTGCTTAGGGAGGGTAAGAGGATGAAGGGAATTAATGACAACAAATGTCAAATTACTAATGTGGTTAAATTTTAGAATTATTAATAGGTCTAAATGTGCTCTTTAAGAATATTGAAAGCATTAAAAATGTATGATGCAGTAATTCTTTGGTACTGCTTGGAGGTAGTGCCCTTGCCCCTCACCATGTTGGGAATGGAGCAAGTACCTTGTACGTGAGAGGTAAGTGCTCTGTCAGTGAGCTACACCCTGGACCTAAAGCCTAGCATTTGTGTAAACATAGTGATCCCTCAAAGAGTAGTTCCATCAATTTCATGGCTCATTGATACATATCTTAACATCGAATCTGCCTGTTCCTTTATTTAAATTTTGTATCATAGGTACTTTTTTCTTGGATAGATAGCTTATCATTGCAACCTTGGGAAATCATTTGTTCCATTATCTTACACAGAAAGATTTTATCACTTTTTTAGATATCTTCCTTATCAAAATAGTATATAAAGTTAATTGCTCATATCCCAGCAGCCACCAGTCTCTAACTCTTGTTTTCTAACTGATGAAGTAATTGTTTCTTCAAGTGCCCTTTCATTTCTGGGGCAAGGAGGTTTCCCATAGTTCTTGTCATGCAGTTAGTAGGTGATGGGTGGTTGACCTCATAGCTGATTACTGCAGCATTCACAAAAGCACTGTTTATAGAAACAGTCTGTGATATCCAGATATTGAGGCTGGCAAGTGCCGCTTAGAAAGTACATGCTAGAAGAGCAGTGCTCAGCTTGAAAATCTGCAGTCAAGCTGCTGGGTGCTCTCTCTCAAAGCCCCTGCTTGAGTAAACAAGTGTTTTATTTGGAAAACCCTTGCCTGTGTTCTTGGCACCCAAGAGGGATGTTAAACATCAAATGGAAGGTTAAGTACAAAGGCATTGCAGAAGTCCTGACAGATAAGGCTTCCAGGCACACTCAGGACTTTGCTGCATGTCGCCTCAACCATTTAATTTCTCAGGAGCACTTGTGTATTATGTTTGGAATTAATTTCAGAGGCCGTTTGTAGTAAAGAAGAAAAGGGGCCGTAAACGCCGGAGGATCAACAGCAGCGTGACAACCGAGACGATTTCTGAGACAACCGAGGTACTGCACGAGCCCTTTGACAACTCGGATGAAGAGAGGCCCATGCCGCAGCTGGAGCCTACCTGTGAGATCGAGGTACAGGAAGAGGGCAGGAAGCCAGTTCTGAGAAGAGCATATCAGCATCAGCCGGGGAAGAAGAGGCAGACGGAGGAAGAGGAAGAAAAAGACAATCATCTCTTCAAGAACGCTGCCCTCTGTAGAAGTAAGTGGAGGCTTGCAAGGCTTTAGCCACTGATGTCCACAGGCTGTACCGATGCATCTAAAAAGGGTCAACCCTTCTTTTCTCACTCACAATGGCTCAGCCTTTTTTTCTTTTAATGGGGTTTTGTGTTAGACGTCGTCTCTAAACTAAAATGTATCTCTTACTCTGTAGAAATTGGCTCAATCTCAGAAGCTTTGAAGACTAGTAAGAAACACAGTGCAAGTTTCTTGCTGCCCATCTGTGGTTTTCTACCTATTAGTGTTTTGGCATCAGGGTGCATGTTGCCAGTGTGAGCAGTGGATGTGCAGTTCTCTTTTCCTTGAAGACAGCTTCCCGTGCACAGGGTGCATCTTGCCACTCTGCAGTGCCCAAAGCCCACTGTGGTCCAGAGGCATCTCAGCTAACCTGCAGCAGCCTTGCTAATATGGGGGTACAGAAATCCCATAGACAGGCTTCTCTTTGAAGTTGACAGGGACACCCTCTCTCCCCATCCTCTACAAACATACCAGACATCAATGAATGTCTTTGATGCCCCGTTTAAAGCATCCTTTGCCCTGTTAGCACAGGTACTCCCAGATGAACGATGAGGATTTGTGGGACAGCCTCTCGATAGCTGGAAAGCTGAAATGACTCTGTCCAAATCTTGCTGCAGCCTAGGGAACAGCCAACTCCTTTTTCTGGGAACCACAGGAGTTGCTGTCTGTAGCTGGTGTTAGGAACTAGCCAGTACCTCCTTGACTTCTTTAGTGAATATCTATAGTTCCCCTTTTCATTGTTTTTACATTTCTTCCTTTTCTCTTTTAAAGACAGTCTCTCAGTATGTAGCCCCAGCGTGCCTGGAATTCCATATATAGACATCCTGGCCTCAAATTTAGAAGTCAGTCCTCCTCTGCTTCCCAGGTGCTGGGATCGAAGGTGTACACCACCACAACTAGCCCCACCGCTCTTTTTGGGGACAGTGTATCTCACTTTTACTTGGAACTCAACCTGTTTCTACTAGCCTTTTTCCCAGTGAGCCCCCAGGATCTGTCTGTCTTTGGCACCTCAATACTGAGGCTACTAAGGCTCCAGGCATGAGGCACCCCACCCGGTCTTTGTATGGAATCAAGGGATCTGAACTCAATCTGCATGACTGTGTGGCAAGCACTTTACCCATAGGAAACAAACTGCCAGGAGAGACATTTTCAGGTGTGAAGACAACCTTACTTCCACGTCTGGCTGTCTGTAGAAGCCTAGAGATGAGCTGTCACTTCCTCTCTTCTCTGCTTTGTGTTCTTTACCCTTTGTGCACAATCTGCCAGCTTTGCTCCAGGATCCTCTCTTTCTTGAAGGTGGTTATCAGAAAACTCATCTTCTCATTTAGGGATGTATCCCTACAGCAGCTGTAGATCGGTAGCACAGAGAACACAAATGTGGGTAAAAGCACTTGCTGCCAAGCCTAACAACCTGATTTTTATCTCCCATACTCACACGGTAGAAAGAGAAAACCTGTTCCTGAAAATTGTGCTCAAACTTATACACACGCGTACTCACATATAAATATAAAACACGAGGGTAAGGACATTGACATGGCTGATACTTGCCATTGTGAACAGAAAGGAAATGGTCTGAGCATCCTTAGAAAGCTGACCAAGGCCTGGAGCTCAGCACTTGTACAGATCCTGTATCATATGCTTGTCCTGTTAGTCAGTGTGGGTGATGCCTGGAGGGAAGTCTGTGTGCGATTGTTTTATTATTTAAATGACAATGCTGCTTCTGGCATCTCTTTCTACTTCTGGCTTCTACTACTGTTCATTTATATTCTCTAAAATACTTTGTTGGTTTTTGGGGTTTTGAGACAGGGCTCATTTTATAGCCCTGGCTGTCCAGAAACTCACTATGTAGACCAGGACCCTCCATACCCAGATAAAATTGTGTTTCTAATAAGAATGTCACTCTTTATACAACTTTCCCTTTAGATTGACCACTGATTCTTAATTTGATTCTTTTTGTTTGTTTTGTTTTGTTTCATTTTTCAAGACATGGTTTCTCTGTGTAACAGTCCTGGCTGTCCTGGAACTTGCTTAGTAAACCAGGCCGGCCTCAAATCACAGAGATCGACCTGCCTCTGCCTCCCAAGTGCTGGTATTAAAGGCGTGTACCACTACTACCCAGCTTGATTTGATTCTTAGTCTCCTAAAGATGTTAAGGCCTGGGTATTTTATGTGTGTGTACTTACTCATATGTATATTTGTTTGCTGTATTGTATAAACAGACAATCGTATTTCCATGTACATATAGGGTGCAGAAGAGTAGGTTTCAGAATTGCAGCTAAAGTTCAATTACGTACGCTCTGTTTCTAGTTGTCTAATTCAGACTCTAAGAACTGTTTGTTGATTTTACTGTGTCCTAACCTGTAGTGCACAGCTCTGCTGTGCTCCAGGACTCAGCCTTCTAGAAAAGTCAAGGGCCCATGTGGTCCATAAGCATGATGATCAGCTGACCAGTGAAATGAGTGGATAAGCCACAGAAGGGCAGCCGGTGGTCAGAGATCACTCAGGTGCCAGGGCTGAGTCACTGTTCAGCCATGGATGCTGGCGGCAGAGGGGCTCCAGCCTCTCAGTCTCTCTTATATTCCACAGCAAACTGATCCCAAATATACTGTGGACAGAATAGCTGATTAAAAAAAAACAAAAAAACAACTTTATTTTAAAAGTTACAGTAATTGAATTGTAGGTTGTATTCATAAATCGTGAATGACATTTATGATGATGATTACAGATGCAGTGCAGTGTGCAGTTACTTGTCACTCATTTGCTTCATACACAGGTATGCTTTTATGTCTGGGGCTGGAGAGATGACTCAGTGGTTAAAAGTACTGGCTGCTCTTCCAGAGGACCCATGAATGTGGGTTCTACACCCCCCCCCCCCCCCCCCCCGGCACCCACATGGTGGCTCACAGCCATCCATAACTTCAGTTCCAGGGGGATCTGATGCCCTCTTCTGGCCTTCTTTGGTACCAGGCATGCACTTGGTGCATAGATATACATACAAGCAAAACACCCATGCATATAAAATAAAAATAAATAATTCTGAAGAAAAAAAGTAATGTCACCTGAGATCATTTAAATCTAGTAAATGTCCACAAAGAGGTGGTCTTTCCTCGGCTAGGACTTTAGTCCTCTTCGCTTTCCCCGGGCAGTGATGATTTGAATATAAACCAGCATTACTCCCATCCCGCTCGATTTCCAGATTTGTTGAAATTGGGTTTTGGTTTGGTTTGGTTTTTTTAGTATTGTGGAACTCCCCGCTTTTACATCATAGAATGTCATTTACCTTCCTAGGTCTAGGTTACTCAGCTTGGTCTATGCCACGATGTTCTCAATTATCTTTCCCATCATCTCTTAAGGTGCGAAATTGAAAGCTGTGCTTGCTAATAAATGTAGAGCTGTGTGTCAGGTTGTGTGTGGTTATACTTTCTAAACTTGTGCTTGTCTCTCTTTTTGTCTCTTCATTAAGACGACATGGATGATAATGCAGAATGCTTGAAAGAAGGCAACAGAGACAGTTCTGAAGCCCTGAAGTGCAAACACGCATGGCCCAAAGGAACAAAGCGAGGGCTCTCCAAGTGGAAGCAGAACAAGGAGAGGAAGACGGGGTTTAAACTGAACCTGTACACCCCACCAGAAACACCCATGGAGCCAGACGACCAGGTGGCAGTAGAAGAGCAGAAGGAGGTCTCAGAAGACAAGAGCAGCCCTGTGGGAACAGAGCGGGAGGTGACAGAGGCCCTGGAAACACTACTGCCGCAGGAAGGGAACAGAAAGGAAGAGACAGGCGCACCTGTGAGTCCTTGTAAATCACCAAGTGAAAAGGTAGATGAGGACCTCATCAAAGGTGAGGAGGAGGAAGAGGAGGAGGAGGAGGAGGAGGAGGAAGAGCGAGAGGAGGAGGAAGAAGGAGGAACTGCAGAAAAAGACCAAGATGGTGCTGAAAGTAAAGAGAAAGAAGAACCAGAAATCTGCATGGAAAAAGAAGATCCTGTGCATCTGGATGATCATGAGGAGGAGGAGGAAGAGGAGGAAGAGCCATCTCACAATGAGGACCATGATGCGGATGATGAAGATGACAGTCACATGGAGAGGGGTGACCTCCCAAAGGAAGCCTTCAAGGATGCGCTAGAGAGCCAGGAAGCTTTTTTAGACCTTAGTGTTCAACCTGATCATTCTAACCCTGAGGTCCTTATGGATTGCGGCGTAGATCTTGCAGTTGCATGTACCAATGAGTCGAAAGAACTTTCTGGGGACACTGGAACTGCACCCGAGTCTGATGAGGAGCCCCCAGAAGACCAGACTCAGAAGCAGGACCAGAAGAACAGTGATGATATCAACGAGGAGCTCAAAGAGGGAGGCACAGCCCCTGTGGAAATTGACTCAGAGACCGTCCAGGCTGTTCAGTCTTTGACCCAAGAAAACAGGGAACACGATGACACCTTTCAGGATTGTGCCGAGACTCAAGAAGCCTGTAGAACCCTGCAGAACTATACACATACAGACCAAAGCCCTCAAATTGCCACCACTCTGGACGAATGCCAACCGTCAGACCACAGCCCAGTTTCTTCTGTCCATTCCCACCCTGGCCAGTCAGTTCGTTCTGTCAATAGCCCCAATGTCCCCGCCCTAGAGAATAGCTATGCCCAAATCAGCCCTGATCAGACTGCCATCACAGTGCCGCCTCTGCAGAGCATGGAGACCAGCCCCATGATGGATGTGCCGTCAGTCTCAGATCACTCACAGCAAGTCGTTGACAGTGGCTTTAGTGACCTGGGCAGTATCGAGAGCACAACGGAGAACTACGAAAACCCAAGCAGCTATGACTCAACCATGGGTGGCAGCATCTGCGGAAACGGCTCTTCCCAGAACAGCTGCTCCTACAGCAGCCTCACCTCTAGCAATCTGACGCAGAGCAGCTGTGCCGTCACCCAGCAGATGTCCAACATCAGTGGGAGCTGCAGCATGCTGCAGCAGCCCAGCATCAGCTCCCCTCCAACCTGCAGCGTCAAGTCTCCCCAAGGCTGTGTGGTGGAGAGGCCTCCCAGCAGCAACCAGCAGCTAGCTCAGTGCAGCATGGCCGCCAACTTTACCCCACCCATGCAGCTGGCTGACATCCCCGAGACCAGCAATGCCAACATTGGCTTATATGAGCGAATGGGTCAAAGTGATTTTGGGGCTGGACACTACCCACAGCCATCTGCCACCTTCAGCCTTGCCAAACTGCAGCAGTTAACGAATACCCTTATTGACCATTCATTGCCTTACAGCCACTCTGCTGCTGTGACTTCCTATGCAAACAGTGCCTCTTTGTCCACACCACTAAGTAACACAGGGCTTGTTCAGCTTTCTCAGTCTCCACACTCCGTCCCTGGGGGACCCCAAGCACAAGCTACCATGACCCCACCCCCTAACCTGACTCCTCCTCCCATGAATCTGCCACCGCCTCTTTTGCAGCGGAACATGGCTACTTCAAACATTGGCATCTCCCACAGCCAAAGACTGCAAACTCAGATTGCCAGCAAGGGCCACGTCTCCATGAGAACCAAGTCGGCATCTCTGTCACCAGCCACTGCCCCCCATCAGTCACAAATCTATGGGCGTTCCCAGACTGTAGCCATGCAGGGTCCTGCACGGACTTTAACAATGCAAAGAGGCATGAACATGAGTGTGAACTTGATGCCAGCGCCGGCCTACAATGTCAACTCTGTGAACATGAACATGAACACTCTGAATGCCATGAACGGGTACAGCATGTCCCAGCCAATGATGAACAGTGGCTACCATAGCAACCATGGCTACATGAATCAAACACCCCAGTACCCTATGCAGATGCAGATGGGCATGATGGGGACCCAGCCATATGCCCAGCAGCCAATGCAGACCCCACCCCACAGTAACATGATGTACACGGCCCCTGGACACCATGGCTACATGAACACAGGCATGTCCAAACAATCTCTCAATGGGTCCTACATGAGAAGGTAGGCAGCCTGGCAGCCCACAGAGCCCGCTGGGCCGCACTGTTGGATTGATCTGCACAAATACCTTTGAAGAGTACGATTTCAAAACCAGCATTGGTGTGAATGCAAAAACATTGTTGGCACCATTTATTTAAAAAAAAAAAAAGCTGTATGCAGCAGAAAGCCTTATACAAGTTGTTTTTCTTTTTTCCTTTTTTCTTTTTTGGTACCTTTGTTTCTGTTACTTTTTCTATAAAATCCTCTGCAAAAGGAAGGCCTCCCTTAGGACTACGGTTAGGGGCAGCCACTCTTGGTGCCTGCTTCCCTTAAACAGTGTGGATACAAGCCCCTCCCCAGATCACCTGTTTTAATATTGAACCCGGAGCTTTTTTCCTTCCTTGTCGACTCCATGTAAATGCCTTTAGCATTTCAATTACTGTATATTTTGTTTAAGGTGACACTTCCGCATGCCGCTAATGTCTTTGTTAGTGACAGTGCATTTTGTAGTACTGTACAAGTGTTGTGCTAACGGTAAGCCATTTCTTAAGTTTTTTGCCTTGATTAGGGTACCCTAATTTGAGGGTTTAAAAAAAACTCTATTTTTGTTAATTATAAAACTGTAAAGAGCTATCAGAGCTGTCCCCATCTGGTTAGTCAAGAGGGTTATTGCTAACTGTTCGGTGTAAAGTTGAGACCCTTTTCCATTCTGGTGGCAGGTTCCTTTGGGGGAAGGCAGCTTTCTGTTTTATAAATGCACACTTTTGTTTATTGAATGAAGCATATCTCAGTATTTATCTGTCAGGTTTTGAAGCATTTCATATATGTCCAAATACTTGGCAGGATTAAAAAAAATAGTGAATTTGGTGTAAAGTTGCTATTTTATGGAAATGCCTCTAACTTTACATTTTCATTCCATCTGTAGATTTTTCTATCTTTATAAAATATTGGAGTTATTTTTTAAGGAAAAATAGAAGAGTAGCTTGTGAATAGCTCAAACTAAGCTTACAAATCGCATGTAAAAAAGCAAAAAAGTTATTTGTGTCTGTTTATATTGCTTCCTTTTGTAGCCTTTGTACCTATACAGGTGACAGTGAGGGCCAAGCAGAGGCGCGACCTTGTATAAAATAGGAGCCAGCAGCACTCGCGTATTTATCTCTTCTCTTTTTAGTCAGTTACTTCAAAAAAAGAAAAAACAAAAAAAGCTGTACATTTTAACATAAAATAAATTATGATGAGCCATTTTTAGCCTCTTGTGTCCTGTCATATTGTGATTGATGGAGGATGCCAGCGGAACTGTCATCTACCACATCTGGAACACATACACATCTGGGGAAATAAATTATTTAGTGTAAATTCGAGTTAGGAGACTTTTCTGATTTGTTTTGACTTTGGGGGAGGGGTTGGCAGTAAATAAGAGAAATATCTAATAAAACCATCACATATACCAAATACCTATTTAATAAATTAATTTATAATGGATTTTAATGCTTTTCATGAAAGTTTACTTTATGCTAGTGCATACCTTCTGTATGCCAATCATTGTCTTTCAAATAAAGTAAGTTTGGTTTTTTCTTTTTGCCTTTGATCTTCATTTGCACAGAGCGCTCACAAGGATATCCAGTTGCCTCATTTGTACCAGCTCTAGAAACCCGGGGGCCTGGTACCACACTAGCAAGCTTCTTTTTTAGAAGATTGCTATCACAAACACCCGATTTTCTTTTGAAAAGTGTGACAGCTTCACTCAGTTGTGAAGGACTGTATGATCCCTTTAGAGTTCATAGTTTCACACACACATACACCACCCAAAGGTGAGTGTTTATAGACATTGCATGACCTTCAGAGAGAGTTCTGACTGTCCGCTAAAATATTTTATTACTTGAACAACAAGTTGAGAAGTAAGAGCTTGACTTGGCACCTGCGTGTGACTGGCCCACTGAGTGTTTAAGGGCATCTACGTGTGGGCGCTCACGGTTCTGCAGACATTGACACAAAGCGCAACATGGGCTCAGCCAGAACAAAAGGCCACCCCAATAGAAGAAGCCTGCGGGGCTCTGGCTTCCTGTTCTCACCAATGGTTGCTTCCAGTGCATGAATGGCAGGGATAGCATCCACATTTTAACTCTTGAGTTTTGTGCTCCTGCCAAGCCAGTGATGATACTTGAAGATGGGGAAGGGGTCTTAGAAGACCCTCCTGCAGGGCTGGCGACGCAAAAGGGGAGCAGAATATGATTTGTGGGGAAAGGACATGCCAGATGTCTTCTGAGGAGCAGGTGATTGGGTGCAGTTTTGAGCCAATCAAATCGCTAGAAGGTTGGGAGTGGTTGAGGGCCCCAGCAGGACAGTGGACCACATATCTGGCGGGAAACTTGTTTCTGTCTAGGAACCCCACAGACACCCTTCTCCAGGTCCCTCCTTGGAACATTTATGTGCTAGCTTCGTGCCTCCCTCTTGTGTTAAGAGTGTCTGGGGGCCAAGACACCCCCGTTCCCCTTGACAATCGCCTGTTATTCATAACCTTTGGGTTGTGGGAAGTCTGGGTCTCAGTGCTCCATCCCTTGCTTGCTTCACAGTCCAAGCGATCTTTATGGATCAACTCCTAATGGCTGTTCCACACCCATGTGTTCCACTGGGTGCCTAGCATTGGTCCCAGAGTTCAAATATCCCTTAAGGAAATAGGCTTTGTAAGGAAAGAACTGTCTAGCTGAGTTGCCTGTTGAGCACCAGGCCTCACTGGAAATGCCACACCACAGATCCTGGGATATGGCTTAGATCCATAATTGCATACAACTGCTCCTCGGTTGGTGGCCACTCATAGCGCACACCTATAAGACCAATAGTATGTTCCTCCTTTGTAGGAGCGGTCATCTGATGTCTCCCTGGTATACAAGCCCTGTTGGAAGTGATGACTCAGCATTGGCCAACAGCCCTCCCACACACTGGTCGGGAGGTGGAAGAAACACAGAAAGTTAATCGCCCCCAATTCACTCCGATCCCCAGATCACTGAATCAGCTCTCTTAAACACCAGCTGGAAGAGTCTGCTCTGTAGATGCAGGTTCCCTTAGAGGGAGCAAGCCTTACCTAGCCATTAACGGCAAGCACTGACATACCAAGGAGCAGACTCCTGCCATTGCTTTCTGCGTTGGTTTTCCTGCATCTTCCTCGTCCATCCCGACTGGTCCATCCCGGGCCAGCTGCATCTTTTTCCTCTTTATCTCATCCAGTGTGATGACTTGCAGATGACTCCCAGAACTTTATTTCCCTCCACTCATCAGCATCCCAAGTCAACACTAGAATCTCCTACCCCTTTGGAACTTGCACTTCAAGGCACTTCAAGGACAAGTTCCCCTTGTGTCCTCAGATTTCCCCTCCCGCTGGGAGAAAAGACCATGAATTCTTTTTTGCATGTTTTATTTTTGTGTTATATAGGGGTGTTTTTCCTGTACTGTGTAAATGTGCCGGTGCCCATGGAGGCCAGAAGAGACATCGGATGCCCTACCTGGAGTTGTGAGTCGCCATGTGTGCTGGGAGACAAGCCTGGGAGCCCTTAACCGCTGAGCCAACTCTCCACCTTAGGTCTTGAATTAAAAGCCAGTGTGGGCTACTCAGTAAGCTGCTGTCTCAAGACCCTCCATCCAATAAAGGTTTCTCTGTGAGAAAGGAGGGGTTTTTTTCTATCAAAGGTGGCTAGCCCACTAAGAGCTAATATTCCCTACACTACTCCCACCTTGTAAAACTTTTACTTAAATCTTTTCATCTCCCTACCCTGTAAAACTTTGAAGTAAAGGCCTGGCTGCATTCCTGGAACTTGACCATTTTCCTCTTCCCTACATTTCCTCCTCCTCGCCTGCTTTCCCTATTAGCCAGTCCAGGGTAGACTGTGAGGTCGAACCTCAGCCAGCGGAGAAGCCAAGCTCCCCCTGGGTTAAGGATAAAAGATGAGTGAGTCCATCTTGGCCATCTGTGCAGCTTGCCAACCCCATTGGCTGAGGCCCACTTTTTGTAGTAAGAAGCGGCTTGCCTGGTTACTTTCTGTTTCACTGAACGATTGGAACCGAATTCTTTCCCAGCGCCACGTGTCTAGAGTGGCTTCTCCACTGTTTCTTCATCTCCCATGTCCCACGTGGCATCTTAGTACCATCTGCATTTTTAAACAAGCTTTTGGCCTCTTAACCCAGGTTTGGAAATGTGCTAAGTCTCAGTCATGCTTTTTAACCAAGTGAAAACACTGCTTATGAAGTCTTTAAACATTGTTGCTGACATTTTTGTGCCTCCTTTCTCTTAACACTAAGTCCCAGTAGTCACCAGGAAGAGGCAGGCAACATTAGTTTCTCAAAGAGGTGGGGTGTGGCAGGAGGCACCGGGTCAGCGGCTCAGGAAAGCCTCCTCGTGGGGCTGTTTGTGTGCTACCTCACCTACACGTGAGTTCACTAATGCAAGTACTTGGTGGAAATGGAAATGCTGGCTTGTCTGGGCACTGCAAATGGATAACTAATTGAAATCTGAGTTCAGAAGGGGCCATCAGGATGCTCTGATGGAAAGCCCAAGTAGGGACTACTCTAACCCCAGGTCCCTTTCCCAAGATCCTGTGGCTCCCAGGACACCAAAATCATCAAGTGAGTCCGTCCTCGGTAGTTGTCCTGCTCCAGAGTGTCGCCACGCCAGCCCAGCACCTCAGCTGAGCGTGGCCTCCACTCCTCCAGCCCAGCACCTCAGCTGAGCGTGGCCTCCACTCCTCCAGCCCAGCACCTCAGCTGAGTGTGGCCTCCACTCCTCCAGCCCAGCACCTCAGCTGAGCGTGGCCTCCACTCCTCCAGCCCAGCACCTCAGCTGAGCATGGTCTCCAGTCTTGTGTGTGTTTGCTTTCAACTTTGCGGCAATGTTTTGGTTTTTAAATTTATTTTAAGACCCAATATTGTAGATGTAAGGGAGTCTTGAGGTGATCTCCATGTCTATGTCAGATCATTCTCAGGAGGGTCCCAGGAGACCATCCTAACCACAAGGTCCCAAATTACCAGTGATAGGAAATCAAAACAGCTCCCCCAGATGTCACAGTGACGGCTTTACTCAGCTTCCCTGGGCTCCAGCGCTCCTAATGGGCACTATTAACACTGGAAACATGGGCCCCTTCCTGGCGTCCCCAGCGGGCCTTAGGCCCTCTTGGCTCTCTCTAGAATGCCATCATTGGTGGTTCTTCACTGCTGCCCTCCTCTCTCTAGGCTCCATCTTCTCAGGGTTCCTGGTTCTGGAAGCCACCACCCTGTTGTGCTGCTGTTTTCTTGAGTGAGGAATGACCATCACAGTGCTCACTTAACTCTCAAGAGAGACCAGCTCACATCTGAGCTCACCCGGCTGCCCTGCCCTGCAGATACTTCAGGGTGTGAGTAAAAAGAACCACCATTCCGTCCTTACGCTAAAGGAAAAGAGGCATTCTGGTCCCCTAAAATTAAGTGTCTCCTGCCTCTCTTTTTCTCCCAAATTGTGAAGTTACACTCTTCCTTGTCCAGATTCACCACAACTCATCTGTGGTGACAGCTCCGACTGTGATGTAAGGAGGGGACTCCATGCCACCCATACACACGCGTGTCCGCACTCATGCACGTATACACAGACACGCATGCACACACGCACACACGCGCGTGTGTGCACACAGACACACGCATGTGCACGCGTGCACATTCACAGACACGCACACAGACGCACGCATATGCATGCGTGCGCACACACACACACACAACACATAGGCCACCATGGATAAAGAAACATGGTTGCTCTGAGACTTCCTCCTAAGTGGTAAAGCCTGTCTTGTAACGTGGCTTGCCAGGCAATTTTCTGTGGTTAAAAAAAATCAAGTTCTATTTTAAGTTATATTTTTATAAGAACGTGATTTTTTTCTTTTCAGAGCCAAATGTTTAACCACAACACAGTGCTCACACATTAAAAACAAAACAAAAAAACTCCCTCTCCACTTCGAACTTAAAGGACAAGAGACCACAGAGCGGCCCTCATCTGAAGCCAGTTCCCCCTGCAGTTGTCCTGGCCCTTCCTGAGGAGGAGAACGGGACATGGAGGTGACAGCTGCTCATCTTCCCTGTGTCCCATCTCCACCACCAACAAAGCTTCCGAGAAGGCACCCATCAGCCTCCTGCTCTGGGTGCCAGGGGCTCTGATCTCTCTCCGAGGGCCCTACCACCCCAGCTCACAGTCCCCTGGCTCAGCCTGTCGTCGCTGCTTCACCAGCTGCTTGTCCAGCTCCCGGAGCTGCTTCAGGAAGCCCCGGTTGGGCAGAACACAGCGCTTCTTAGCCACTTGTTGGATGGCATCCACCAAGGTCATGTTCTTGTGGATCATCAGGTAGGCCAGGACCAGGGTTGCTGACCGGCTTCGGCCCATGGCACAGTGAACCAGGATCTTACCTGCAGGTGGAGGGGGACAGGAAAACCAATGCTGAACGGGATGAGGCATCTTAACCCACATTCATTCTCTCTGTTGTCCATAGTTTGGATTGGGCCACAGCTCCC